CCCACTGCTGGTCCCACTGTTGGTGGCATCTGTGCAGTGTCCCCTTGTCTGCCTATGACTGACTTCCATGGGCCATGGTATCCCTGAGCAGTGTCAGCCAAAAGCAAGTCAGGGGCAATGGTTGTCTGAGCTGAGACCTCCAGGCTCATGGCCTTCCCAGGATGTGGCCAGTCATCTGAAACTTTAAGACTCAAACAATGAGTACGTGCCATGGAGGCCCTGGTTGGAGCTTTCTTGTGCTGTTCTACAAGCACTGCCACATCAGCCCTGAGCAGTGCCAGACCCTCAGCCAATGCCTGTGCCTGCTGGGGGGCAGGGGGAGTAGAACCACTGTGGCAGCTGGCCTGTGGGACCCATGATGTGGAGGCCACAGCCCTGCTTTTCAGGTCTGCTAGTGGCCTAACACTTGCAAGTCAAGTCTAGAAGGCAGGATGCAGTGAGGAGCTGGAGAGCCCCAGGAGCCCCCGGAGCCCCAGTGCCAAGAGGAGGGCAGCGGCAGAGTAGACTCTTAGATAAGCACATTGGCTGGCTCAGGGCCAGTGTCTCTGCTGCTCCGGCCTCTGTACCATCTCACCTTTCCAAAACACATATTGTGAAGTTTACTTGGAAAGACTTATGTTTACTTTGGTTTTGTGTATATTGTGTGCCTAGATGTATGGATGTATATCATATCATGTTCCTGAAGGTGCCCGCCCAGTGTGGATGCTGGGAACCTGGATTCTCCGAACAGCTGAGCCATCTTGTTTTGTTTTGTTTTGTTTTGTTTTGTTTTGTTTTGTTTTTGTTTTTCGAGACAGGGTTTCTCCAGTAGCCCTGGCTGTCCTGGAACTCACTCTATAGACCAGGTTGGCCTCAAATTCAGAAATCCGCTTGTCTCTGCCTCTCAAGTGCTGGGATTAAAGGCGTGTGCCACCACCGTCCAGCCAGCTGAGCCATCTTTACAGACAATAAGAGGCTTTTTAAAAATGCCTCGGTGCTTCTGGGAGAAGCTTGATGCTGGGACCATCTTCTAAGTCACTCATCTTTTTCTTCCATCTTTGGCTCTAGAAGTGCAATGAGGTCAGGCAACCTCAGAAGTGTGGGGTACCCTAGCAGGGAGGTGCCCAGCCCTGTACATGCACCTGGTATAGGCTCAGTCTCCTGGAGAGCAGTGACAAGCAGCCATGCCTGATATAATCCTCACTCTCAAGGATCCCAGCCTGGGCTGCACTCTCTCTCTTTCTCCCAAGACACTGCCCCAGGGTACCACAGGGGACTCTCCAGCTTGTCAAATGTCTTGGAGACTCCCTCCACCTCCTCAAAGATCCAGGCTGCTCTGGGTCCTTAGGCTGGCTCCCTCTCTCAAAGCATAGACACCCTTTGTAGCACTACTCCAGCTGCCCAGTGTGGACCAGGGCTCAGCCTCCCTGGAGCCTTGTGATACACACAAGCAGCTTTAAGCAGTCAGCCAGCACCCTCTTGGCAGGGCAGCTGCTGGAATTCTATGTCCTTCTAACATCTGTCTTTGGTAGTGAGGACTAGTGTGTGGTCCCCTCATTCTTCTAGCAAGAATATCAAGGACAGCATTCTCTAGTACACTTTAATGTTCTCACATTTGCCCTGTGTTTTGAGACAACCACTGCCTTTGGGAGCAGGGAGGACAACTCTGAGCCTCAAATCCCCATAGATCCCCCTTGCAAGATGATACACCCACTGCAGAGGTGGGGAAGTGGACTTCAGAGCCTGCAGTCTTCAGCTTCCTTTACTCTGACCCTCTTGGCTGGCTTTTCCTGCCCCCATTCCACTTGCCATGATGTTGGGTCTAGCATGAGACAAAGCTTTCATGGATGCTGGGCCAGGCTGATCCCTGTGAGCCTAGTGTCTGATTCTGCAGAAGTGGGTATCACAGCTTCTGACTGGACAGAAGGGGCTTGGAACAGACTTGTGGCCCTGTGGGGACAGCACCACACTTAGGAGCAGTGCAGACCCCAGGACACACTGGCAGGAAGCTGAAGGGAGTACTTCCTGGTACAAAGCCCTCAAGTGCAAGAGGATGAGTGTAAGTCTTCTGGCTCAGTGGAGATAGCAACAGTGTGAGAACATACCCACAGAAAGACAAAGGAAGGTTCAGGAAGGAGACGGATCTCCACTGGGAGATGAAGGGAGAAGGGACAGAAGGAGCATGAGTTCAGGTTGTAGTGGGCTGTGTGAGCAGGCCAAGCCCCTGGCTGGGCTGGAGCCAGGCCATATCCCTCTCAGAACTGGGGCTGGACACCACAGGACTGGTTTTAATCTCATTCTGAGCTCCACTTACTGTCCTGTGCTTAGGCTCACAAATCAGGGATTGCAGCTTAAACTAGGCCTGTTCTGAGGTAGTTATGGGGTGGAGCTGTAGAAGGTTTTCTGAGGGAAGTCTCACCTGCTGCACACAGTTTGATCTTAGCCCTTATCCCTCAACCTCAGAAGTGAACAGCAGTTAACAGTAAACATTCTAGAATTTTCTTAACATTGGCCCCAGTTCCTCCCATCTGTCTGTCACCCAGAACAAACTTCCCCACCTCTAAACTTCAGCATCTTTATTACCTGCCTCACTGGGTCTGGTCGCTATGGTTTGTACCAATGCTATCTCCCCAAGAGTGCTTTTCTTACCCCAACTGGCCTTATGGTGCCAGGAGAAACCCAGCTCCCTCTGCAGTCTGTGCTGAGGGGGAGACACAGCATGATTTAACAAAAAGAGAAGGCTTTTTTTTTTCATTTCTGAAAAGTGAGCTATTTGTAGCCCAAGTTGCTTGAACAGATTACTCATTAACTTCTTTTCCTTATGAATTAAAAAAAAAAGTAGCATTTCCCCACGCAGAAGTCTTTTGTTTACTTGTCTTTGTACTACAGCTAGCGCTAGGACGGCAAGGCAAAGCAAGTGCCCACGGGGAAGCTACAATGTCTTCAACAGGTAAATGCAGGTGTGCAGGTCCTCACCCTGCCACTGTTGCTGCCTCTCTGACACTTGACAGAGCCCCCCAGAGGTTGCTGGCTATGCTCTCCAATGAGCAAAAGCCATACAGGAGTTTTGTTTAGATCTCAGCCCCTGGCTATTCCGGCCAGAGTCTGTGACCTTTGTGACACTGTCCACATGGTAGACTGGGGACAGGTCCTACAAATCTGATGGTTGATAATGCCTTCATGGCCTATTTTCCTGACCTCAGAAATATCCCCTGTGCAAACAGTGTCTGTTGAATCACAAATATTATTCCTTCTTGGCACAACATGGCAACTTCCTTCCTTTGTGAACGACTTGAAGCTTCCCCAGGGCTTACTTACAGTCAAAGGTGACCAGAGTCCCAGGTCAAGGGAGCAGAGCCCAGCTTGCCCTCAGGACTGAGCATCTCACTCCCCACAGATGTATTACATGTGGTACCAAGCTAGGTTGCCCCTAACTACATCCTTCAAAATATGGCTCTTAGGCCTCAGTGACACCAGCCCATTCACTTCCCATTGAGCACTGGTCTCTAGGCCAACTGTATGTCTTTTTGAACCTTAATATTTGAAATACACTTACCCTTTTACCGTAATATCTGAAGTACACTTACCCTTTAAAAACCATACTTACGTGGTACAGCTCACTTTCCACCTCTATCTCCACAATAGTTTTATTATTTTTTTTTGTCAAACCCCTATGTCAAGGGCTCATCGGAATTGTTTTACAATTTATTCCCCTTCTACACACAAGCTTCTTTCCCTTCTCCTGTGCTTCCCTTGGGGCCAAGTGCAACCCCCTAACTAGAGGACATCAGGAGTGGCCCTCCCATCAGAGTCCCAAGGAAGATTCTTCCTTTCTCCCACTTTGTTTCTCCCACCAGAGTGACAGGAACAGTCAGCACATGCTAAATGTCCTAACTTTCCTTCGTGGGTTTCTCCAGAGTCAGAACTGGTAAGCTCAGAAGTCCCGGCAAAGTGTTTCTGACCCTGCCTCAGACTGTGCATATTCCTTTAACAGAATTCCAAATTCCAGAACTCCATGAAAAAGTCACTGGTGAAGCCAAACTTAAAAGATGTGTAGACACTTTTACTAGTCATTAAACCAGTGTTTCGGGATCGCATGTCCGTGCCCTCTCTAGATTCCAAAGAGGCACCACAGCGTGTCACATACCCCATCTGATTCTGAGGCTATAGATGAAAGATTGGGACAATGGAACATCGCTACCCTGGTCACAGACTTTCTGGTGAGGTTTAGGCCAAAGACACATGGGATGTGACAGTAACACAGAAGGTATTCACACCGTGGGTCACTTAGTCCTATCAACTTACTGAAGATACAGACCCACAGCATCTTCATGTATAAATGTGGCTCTGAGCATGAATCTGGTTTTATGATGCTCTTCAGCCTCCTTCAACCCCTCTCCAGGGAGGTAGCTGGGGAAAGCACATATCACAGAAAACTGGGACCAGAGCTGGAGTCCAGGAAAAGAAGCTATGCAACCACACCCTGCCATGTACTGTGCCCAGGTGTGTATGTGCCCAGTGTAAAGCGCCCAGCACCCAGCAGACTGCAGGAGAGCTCTGTTTCTGGACTTCTGCCCAATAAGCACCAAGAATTCCCCTGAACTCATGCTTTGGCTGGATGAAGCCCAGTCCTGGGACATGCTTTATAGAATGGCCACAATGATGGAAGGTCAGAGGCCCAGGAACCAACCGGCTTCCAGCGACAGCTAAGGAAGAACCAAGTCTAGGCCTGGGCCAGATGACAGGAAGGGGAGGGGGCGGTCCAGACAAGGCCGTGGGAATAGCCCTGCTGCACTCGCGCTACCAGGAGAACCAAAGGCCTGGGGGGGGACCACAGCGGGACGCCTCAGTCCCCGCCCCCACTGGCCTCTCCGGGTCGCGCGTGGGCGCGGCGGGCGCCGATTGGCTGGCGGGCGCGCGGGCGGGGCGGGTGGTGGCGGCGCGGAGGGGCGGGTCACCCCGCAGCCGGCCTCGGCCTCCACCGCTGGTCGCCGAGCCCCGCCCGCGCGCCCGCCGCCACACGTCCCCCGCTGGCGGCCACCATGAGCACAGGACTGCGGTACAAGAGCAAGCTGGCGACCCCAGGTGAGCCCAGCGCCTGTCCGCGTGCCCGCGCGCGCCTTTGTCCCCGCCGCCCGCCCGCCTCTCACCGTCTGTCTCCGTCTCTCCCCTGCCCGCCGGCCCGGACCCTCCCGGACCCGCCCGGACCCGGACCATGACCTGGACCATGCAGAGGACAAGCAGGTATCGGTGCTGCGCCGTTCGGCCGGTGGTGAGACCCGAACGGCTGTCACCCATTGTGGCACCGATGCTGGTGGCGCTCAGGCGTGACCCCGCCCCCGCCGGCCGTCACCCAGCCCTTTGGTGTTAATCGATTGTCTGTAGGGGCAGCGCCGCCGCTCCTGGGACTACGGAGGGGAAGTGTAGGGACAACGCTTGGTTCCCTGACCTGTGTAGCAGGGGCCTAGGCATCTCCCCAGAAAGAGAGGCTAGGATGGGGGCCTCTCTCCTCTAGTCCGGGGTCAGCATCCCCTTCTTAGTCTGATCGGAAGGCCTCGTGTTTGGGGGTCCTGGGTGAGGCTGTAGTTATGACAGGCCAGGAATGGGGTGGGGGGAGGGGTCCACCAGTCTCCTGAGCAATACCATAGGGGGCTCTGCTTACTCTGCTTCATGCCCATGCACCTTTGTGTCTCCTGCACCTAAATGTATGCTCACTAGTCTTTGCCAGAGCCTCTTCCAAGACCTGGAACTTTTAAGGCTCCTCATCTGAGTCATCCTGGTGTCCAGCACTAGCCCTCCAAGCCTTGGGTACAGCCAGGCTGTGGCCTTCCAGAGGGCTAGCCTGATCCTCACCCCAATGAGAGTGCCAGACGACTGTGGAGCTGGTGTGGGTAATCTGAAAATCCAAAGGAGCTGAGGGTTGTGAAACAGAGTGCTGTGGAAGTGGGTGTCCTCTGTGGCTTGAGCTAGGCCATGTTAGAAGATAGGGGGGGGGGAAGGCCAAATTCTGACACCAGAAGGCTTTGGCAAGCCTCATTGGGGATGGACGTTCACTCCTAGCATCGGACCCCAGAGTACTAGACCAGAGTACATCAGGCAGAGCAAAAGCAGCTGGCAGATGGGGTGAGCTGGAGAGTCACAGTCTCCTGGCAGGGACATGCCCCGCCCAAGACTGATGAGGCTCATTGGGAGGGGCTTCCCCAGGAGCCTTCCTAGAGAACTGCCTCCCCGGTAAGCCAGACAAAGCCCGATGGGACACATGCCATGCCGCCTAGCTGTTGTGTAAGGGAGAGGGGGACCTAGGAAGGCAGGGACCTAGGCTTCTCCTAGGCCTCTGGAAGGTCTCCCAAGTCACCTGACTTGGGTACTTGCTGCTTGGCAGCATCCATGTTCTCCTGTCTGTTGTTGCTAGGATGGAGACCCCTCCCCTTCCTGATGAAGTATGAGCCCTTCAGGCCTGCATCTGCCCATCCTCTGGTCAGTTAGGAGCCAGCCTTACACCACCCCTATCCCCAGGCCTGAAGGAAGAGAACACTGGGTCAAGGCAGATGGAGGGAGCCCCAGAACAGTGCCAGAGTTCTGGTGTCTGAGCCGGGGTCCCATGGGCCTGGGGGAGCAGCACATAATCATAATACCTTGGTCCCCAATGTGGCTGCACAGAGCCAGGCTTAACCAGGTCTCTTTCTGACTCTAAATGGGGGAGGGGTAGAGCAGTCTGTGTAGCTGGAGGTGTCTGTCTGCCCTTTGCACCCACACCTCTTCTTGGACAGTGATGAGGACTTTGTTGTTTGTGCCTGCTGCTTCAGAGCCTAGTCATAATTCTAAGGATGGAAAGCCTCAACAGTCTCACACTCGTGAAGAGGTGGGTATAGCTGTGTATGGCTTCATACCCCTGAGGAATATTTGTTGAGCCTCCAAGACTAGAAAAAGGGGAATACAAGGCCCCTCCCTCAAGATTTCTCCAGGGAATACACAGGCAATGATGGCCTGCTTGGGTGATTCTCAGACAAGCTGTTTGACTGGGACTTCCCCTAAGCATGTACATGCCCAATAAACAAGTTGAAAGGCAGCCTAAGACCAACTAGGTCTGTTCAGCATCAGGGTACGGCCCAGCCAAGGCCATCTGTGTGGTCTTCCAGAGATGCCCTAACTCAGCTGGAGACATCAGCCTGTCTAGGTGGATGCTGGACTGACAGCTATATTTGCAGCAGTTGGAGCAGAGGAGGTGGGTTGTGACTCAGTCTAAAGGCTTCCGGTAGGTCAGGCAGGAACCAGTAGCCACTTTCTGAGAGTCAGAACTGGGAGGCTTCTTCTCAGCCCTGGGATGAATGCTCTCCTGTTTCAACTGTGGGCTCAGGCTCTTCCCCAGGTGCTAGTTGCCTTGAGGGGACCTCCATAGCAAGGCCCAGGGTGGAGGCCCCTCCAAGAAGCCAAGAAGATGAGGCTTCATGGAAGAGGGGTGGTACCTGCATGGGGGAGGGAGGTCTCCTGGTTCTTTGCCTACTCTGGACAGTGGCTTGTCTAGTTTCTTGCACCGTGGGGCTGGAGCTCTGATTCTGTTGGGTTTGGAAATGAGGAGGAAGGAAAAGTTTGGTGGCTCACAGCCAATGGCTTCCCAATTCATCAGAACCCTGTGGTTCCTGGAACATCTGGTACCTAAAGTGAAGGCATGTTGTGGGCAGAAGTTTTGCCTAGCTATGGGCTGGCCAGAGCTTCCCAGCTCAGAAGGAAGCCGGCCATCTGAACTCTGGCCACTTCATCCCTCGCACCCTTTAGTTTGTTTTTTGAGATAGAGTCTCACTATGTAGCCCTAAGCTGTCCTGGACCTTCCTACATAGACCAGGCTGACCTAAAACTCACAGACAGCTGTCTGCCTCTGCCTCTCAAGAGCTGAGACTAAAGGCTTGCGCCACTCTGTCTGTTCCCCTCGCCCACGGCAGGGCTTAGTAAGGGAGATGCACTCTGTCCTCAGCGTATATGAAGATGCCACGCGGGGAAAGAACTCCCCAATCACTGGCACATGCACAAGCGCAGGGGTGGGGTTAGGAAAGAGTGAGCCCCAAGGGGCGGAGAGGGGTCTGTCTGGAGGCAGTTTGGTCACCGAGGCACAGTTCGGGGTTTTCGGGTGAAGTGTGAGGAGAGCAAGGTCTTGGCTGGGGCCGCTTCCCTCCCGGTTGCGCGTGAGTCCGGAGCGTTCCGCAGCGCCCTCTGGTGGGCGGCAGCGGCGCGGCGTCCCGGAGGCAGTTTCGCGACCGCAGACACCTCGCCGCCCGCCTACGGACGGTCGGGACCCGGCCTCGGGTGCCATGGCTGCGCCCCGGCTCCACGCGGCGTCTCCGCCCGTGCGCCTTGGCCGGGCCCTGCCCATCGCAGCCGTTTTCTCGAGGCTCCGCCTGCGGCCCAATTTCCAGGCGACCGTTTCCCGGCGACGGCGGGCGGGGCGGTCCCCTCTGCCGCTGCCGTGGGCCCGCGAAGCCCCGCCTCGGGCTCGCACTGGAGCCGCTGCTGAGCCTCAACTCAGCCACAGCTCGCGGCCCCGCAGAGGCAAGGGAATGGCTCGCACGACTTCTGAGGTCAGCGGCCTCCCAGGTGGGCGACGCTCCCTCTCCGGGCCTCAGTTCTCGCGACTTCAAAATCCGAGGCAGAAGAGGGCTTAAGAGCAAATTGACCCAGCGTGAGTCGCTCGAGATCGCTGGCCCCGACTGGCCTGACCCTGGTGTAGGGTCGGAACGAGGCCGTCAGGGCCCGCGGGGTGGCCGCGATGGACTCACTGGCAGCACCCCAGGACCGCCTGGTGGAGCAGCTGCTGTCGCCGCGCACCCAGGCCCAGAGGCGGCTCAAGGTGTGTGTGTCTGTGTGTGTGTGTAGAAAGGGTGGAATCTGGGTCATGTATGTAGTCTTGCTTGATCAAGACCCTCTGGCTACCACAGAAGGTGGCAGGGGCTCCCAGGGCAGATGTCCAGCAGGGATAGGTTTAGGCACTGCAGACCCTTTGGCGGGGGAGGCTCTGTACCGCAGTCTATAAATAGCCCTCGCTCCTATGCTGCTTCCGGAACCACCACCCCCAAACCTGGATCTGGGCCAGACAAGCCACCCACCCCTGGATACTCCGGGGATGAGTTTGTGCGGAGGTCTGGCTATTTCCACCTATAGAGGTCCTTGAATGTGTCTGAGGGGTCTCAGTGTGTCCCACATCCACCTCCGCAGATGCCCCTGAGGGCTGACATTCCTCATTCCCCACCACAGTCTTGGGTTTCTGCTGAGGCTGAGGTGGGGTGCCTTTTCCTGCCACCCCCTCACCTACCTTCCTCCTTCCAGCCTCTGCCCTATAGCCCTCACCCCATCTTTGTTGATGAAATGCCCCTTGCTAGGGACTATGCTTTCCGCTCCTCTGAGCAGCATAAGAGATAGGGCCTTGGGCTTCTGCTGGAGATGTAGGATATGCCACTGATGTGCCCCAACCACCCCTGCCCTCAGGACATCGACAAGCAGTACGTTGGCTTTGCCACACTGCCCAACCAGGTGCACCGCAAGTCAGTCAAGAAGGGTTTCGACTTCACGCTCATGGTGGCTGGTGAGTGCTCAAACTTCTGGGTGGAGCCCATGAGGCTGTGGGTCAGAGCATCTCAGCCCAATCTAATCCAGCTCTTCCTGTGGCCAGGCGAGTCCGGTCTGGGGAAGTCCACCCTTGTCCACAGCCTCTTTCTGACTGACCTGTATAAGGACCGGAAACTGCTGAGTGCTGAGGGTGAGTAGCCTTCATGAAGTCCTCACCAATCCACTCACCACTGCCCTGAGAAACCTCAGAGGGCACCCTTACACTCTGCCTGAGGCAAGGGTCCCTGACTGGGGATGAGGAGGAGTGGCCCAGAATATATAGTCAGATAGAGACTGAAGCCAAGGCACCAGGGTGTGTAAGGACAGGGCCCCTTGCTGCCCAGAGAAAAGGTGGAGATAGCCTGCAAATACTCCCTCTTCTACCTCTGCAGAACGCATCAACCAGACAGTAGAGATCCTGAAGCACACGGTTGACATTGAGGAGAAGGGAGTCAAGTTGAAGCTCACCATTGTGGACACGCCCGGATTTGGGGACGCAGTCAACAACTCTGAATGGTGAGGAACAGGTTCCCTGCCCCCAGCTGCCACGACCTAGCAGGCAGCTCTTAGAGCTAGCTTCCTTCTCCCTCCCCTTCTAGTTGGAAGCCCATCACTGACTATGTGGACCAGCAGTTTGAGCAGTATTTCCGCGATGAAAGTGGCCTCAACCGCAAGAATATCCAGGACAACCGGGTGCACTGCTGCCTGTACTTCATCTCCCCCTTCGGACACGGGTGTGTGGCCTGCCCTGGTGCCTGGGCTCAGGGTGGACACTCCTGTCTCCACGTCACTGCCCCTCCTTCTCTCTGCAGACTGAGGCCAGTGGACGTAGGCTTCATGAAGGCGCTGCATGAGAAGGTGAACATTGTTCCCCTCATCGCCAAAGCTGACTGCCTGGTCCCCAGTGAGATCCGGAAGCTGAAGGACAGGGTGAGTCTTTATAGCCAGGGGGGCCTGGCCAAAATCTCCATGGGAGCCTGCCCATGCCAAGTCAAGCTCTCACGTGCTGCAGATACGGGAGGAGATTGACAAGTTTGGGATCCATGTGTACCAGTTTCCAGAATGTGACTCAGATGAAGATGAAGACTTCAAGCAACAGGACCGGGAACTGAAGGTGAGCATGTAAGCAGGAGGGGTGGGGGCAAGGAGGTAGCTGGGTCAGAGCATAGGTAGACCATACAACTCCTGGGGTTGGGGGGGAACTGAGCACCTAGGTGCAAGGTGATCACGGCAGGAATCATTTGTTCAGAAGAGGGACTGTGCCCCAATCTCAAGGGCTACCAGATAAGGAAGTCACTGTATCCCTGTCTAGTCTGTGGTAGGTCATTTGAACCTCCCCTGGGTGCTTCCTAGAGCATTTATCGGTACCATTCTGACCTGCTTTCCAAGAATCAACCCAGAGATGTGTCATGCCCTAGTATCTAGGATTTGGAGCTCCGGAAGGTGGTGGCTTTGAATACCCCAGAGGCCAGAGAGGTTACACAGAGAGCTAAGCCAGGAACTAGGGCCAGAAGCAGATGGGCAGGGCCATCTACCAGTAAGCATAGTCTTGGCTCTGACTTAAACCATGGAGGAAGCCCCGGGAAGCATCCAGTGCCAGAGAAGTGCACAGCCTGGCAGAAAGCCCAAGGCTTTGACACCAGAAGAGGGGCCATGCCATGCAAGGGGGATAATGGCAGTGCTGGAATGGCCTCAGCCTCTGGCCAGCTGCTCTTACAGACTAGGCTGGGCTGGGTCCTTGCTCCCCTTCCCCAGGAAAGTGCACCCTTCGCTGTTATCGGCAGCAACACTGTGGTGGAGGCCAAGGGGCAGCGGGTCCGGGGGCGACTGTACCCCTGGGGGATCGTCGAAGGTGAGATGAGGCAGGAGGCACTGGGTGAGGGGTGGGAGGCTCCCCTAGACTGACACCTACTCATTGTCGCTCCTGCCCACAGTGGAGAATCAGGCGCACTGCGATTTTGTCAAGCTCCGGAACATGCTCATCCGCACTCATATGCACGACCTCAAAGACGTGACGTGTGACGTGCACTATGAAAACTACCGTGCCCACTGCATCCAGCAGATGACCAGGTGGGCCACCCCCACCAGGGCGACCCTCTCACTCTGGCCCTGGCGCCACAGAAGGCCTCCCTGTCCTGAACTTTATCCCAGTACCTAAATCAGCCCAGGGGTCTTAACATTGGCAGGAGCAGGCCAGGCATCTCCCACCCTCCTAAGCTGAACCTCCCAACAAGCACAGCCTTCTCACTCCACAGCAAGCTCACACAGGACAGCCGCATGGAGAGCCCCATCCCTATCCTCCCACTACCCACACCAGATGCGGAGACGGAGAAGCTCATCAGGATGAAGGATGAAGAGGTGGGTGGATCTCAGAAGTAGGGCCAAGATTGTGAAAGGGTAGGGAGGAGAAGCAGAGGGCAGGGCTAGACCTCTCCTATCTTTTCTCACTCTGACTTGGGTCGTCCCCACCACCAGCTGAGGCGCATGCAGGAGATGTTGCAGAAGATGAAGCAGCAAATGCAAGACCAGTGACACCAGCCACAGCCCCAAAGATAGACGGCCGGTTTCAGGGCTGGCTGGCCCTTCCTACCCCTGGATCCCAGACTGTCCTGGATTCCATCCTGGGTTCATCTGGATCTCAGAAGGCCTGGACCTAACCCTAATCCAAAGTGGCTTTGACCAGACTGTTCAGACCTGGAGCTACAGAGCCACAGCCCCCAGATGACCCTAATTTATTCTCAGTATCCACCCTT